CCAGTTACAAACAGGATATTTGGTTTCTATTATTTCTTCTGTATTTCTTTTAGAAACAAAATGAAGTTTTTCTATTTTACAGGTGATGGTTTGTGCTACAGAGTTAAATATTTTTCAGTTCCCTTCTACTGACTCTTGGGAATAGCTATTATAAAAACGAGATAGGGTCACCTACCAGTCAGCAGATGTCACACATTAACTAATCTTCCTCAGCTGCCTTTCTCTGTCAAGTCTGTTCTCTTTTCTTTTTTCCTGTAAGTTTCAACTACCACTTGCAAGGTACAATTTTTAGTTTATGAGACAAATAGTGACTAACTGTTGCCACTTTCTCCTCACCATTGAACAACATTGCCAGTGACTCATTGTCATTTCTTATGACCTGAGCACTGGGGAGACTTAGCAGCTGTAAATTTGATAAATCTTCAAGACTCTTATTGTCGACACAACAAAAATATGGGATAATGGGGTGGATGGTGATAGGTGCATTAGGAAATTACAACAGCAAAGAAGAAGCCTAGAGGGTGCTTCCAGTTTTCAAGAAGGTAACCAGGAAGGTGGAGATATGTGAACAAAAAACTGATAGCCACGGGAAGGGTGGAGCAAGAGCGTTTTTAAAGGAAGGCAATGCCCAATATGATAGGCTATCAAAAGCAATGGAGAATGTTACTTTAAGCATCTGCCAGGGATAAAAACAAACAAACAAACAAACAAAAACCAGGCAAGGCTTTGTTGTTGTTATTAGGAATCCACTACAAGAGAATGTAATCAGATTAAGGTGAATATCAGTGCAGATCTGTTCAGTGTTCTCTCCCAGCCATGACCTCATTGTTAATCTGGAGAGTCTGGATGCTACTCAGATTGGGGTTAGTCTGCAGTGTTGCATTAGTCTGTTTTACATTACCGAAACAAAGTACCTGAGGCCAATTATTTGGTAAATTGGCTCAGCTGGCTATGGGACGTATAAAGTCTATGGAGGCAGTGAGAGTGAGGGTGTCTCTTGCTGAGAGTCTTTTTGTTAGCAGTGTCCCTGGCAACTCTGGCAGTGATGTAGAGCATCACAGAGCAAGAGACAGGAAGCTTTTGTGTACGTATGTCTAGTCTCTCTTCCTCTTCTTATAAGGCTTATAAGATCACCAGATTGAATCATGAGAGCTCCACCCTAATGTGCTTACCTCTGAAGCAAACAGTCAGTTTCAATTTCCACACCCTTACATTCTTGTTTACTCGTGTGCATGTGTGTACCTACTGTGTGTGTCATGGTGTGCACGAGGAGGTCAGAAGACAGCTTTTAGGAGTTGGTTCTCCATTTTTCTCCATGTGGGTTCCTAGGATGGAACTCTAGCTTTCAGGCTTGATGCCCAAGTTCCCTTATCTGTGGAGTTATCTCACTGGTTCAAGTTTCTATGTGCTTTCAAAACAGAAAACACACCCAAACAAAGAAACAACAACAAAACAACTATTAAATTGTTTATTTTATTTGTATAGATGTTTTACCTACATGTATATTTGTACCACATGCGTGTTCCTGGTGCCCTCAGAGGCCAGAATAGGGTGATTGTTGCAGGATATTTGATTGCACTGTGAACCCTGAGATTGTGTTATGGTGTGGCTCAGCCATTAACAGACACCTTTAATCTCTCTGACTGGAATAATGACTAGTCCTTACTATACACTTTTAGTCCCAAACAATGAAGGTTTTACAGAGACAGGCTGAAGAAAGAACAAGCTAAACACAGGTAAATACAGAAGGAGCCAGGGAAGGAGTGGAAAATTAGAACAGATTGCTATAGGAGAGAGAGAGAGAGAGAGAGAGAGAGAGAGAGAGAGAGAGAGAGAGAGAGAGAGAGAGAGAGAGACTGACTTGAATTGGTTAGTGTGGAGAGAAGAGTTTTGAGCCAAAACAGCAAGAGTTCAGAAAGAACTAGAAAGGGGGAGCAGCTCATTCAGCAGCAGATCTCAGAAGCTGAAAACATTCTAGGCCTAGATTAGATTGTATGGAGACTAGAAGCTTCCACGGCTAGGCCTAAGTTAGGAGACTAGGGCAATAAGCCTTGGCGATGGCAGTTTACCCGGGGAATAAAAGTTACATTTACACCTGGTAACCAATTACAGGTGATGGTTACAGGTAGTTGTGAGCCATCATGTGGATGCTGGGAATTGAATCTAGGTCCTCTGGAAAAGCAGCAAGTGCTCTTAAGAGCTAGGCCATCTTCCCAGCTCTGAGTTTCCCCATTCTTAATATCCGACATTGGGGATAAATTTCAGCAAGACTTTTAAAGGAAAAATCATATTCAAACTGTGGAAGATACTAAGCCCGAAGGTCATGGATGAAAGAACCAAATAGATGGAACTGGTAACTCTATAGGCTTCACAATTTTTCATTTTGTTCACTCTCTATGATGGTCCACGTATTGTTAATTGCATGTAGTTGGACACTTCTGCTTTCTCCTGTTTGAAGTTAGTCTATGGACAGTCCTGCCTGGGATTTGCAAATTGTTGTTCCATAAATATCCAAAACATGAGGCCTGAGAAGTGAGGTGTTCATTATTATAATTTTAATTACATGCATTTAGTTTGGATAGAGTGTTTTGCGTGTGCGTATGTGTGTATGTCTGTGTGCTTGCACACTCGAGTAGATCAGAAGATAACTTAGGCAAGCTGGCTCCTCTTTCTATCCCTATGAGTCCTGGGGAATTACATTCATGTGGTCAGGTTTGACAAATTGCTTTTACTCCCTGAGCCAACAGACGTGTTTCTAAAATCATCAGCCAACTTGCGCTTTTACTCTTTCAAGACAGAGCAGTGTAGTGATGGGTTTATAAACTAACATTAGGCCTTATGTGAAATGTTCAGAGGTCATTATACTCAACTTCAAAGACATGGGAAACTGCACTGGGCCTGTCTATGCTACAATAGTGTAACAATGGACTTCAAACCCAGCAACCCATACTGTGACTACAGGGTTTAACATTTACTTTTTTCAATGATTCTTTATTCTTTTGGCTTTTGTTACCCTCTTCAGTAAGAATAAATCATCACACGTTTAGCTAACATGCATTTGAAGATAGGCGCTAGATTTATTGTAGCTCATTTAAATTCTTACATATGACCATCGCTTCTTATTTCATGAGAATAAAGTTTTTAGAGGGAACCATGTTTTCTTGAATGAAGAGAAAATGACTGGATTTCAAATAACTCATGATGAGTTACCAGAAACTGAAAATAATATTGTAAGATCAGATAGTATCTGGAGATGTAATTCAATGGCACAGCACTTTGAGCAGCCTATGCAAGGCTCTGGGTTCAGTTCCCAGCACCAGATGCATAACAAAATGGCACTTAAAAAAAATCCAAACAAATTCTCTCATTTAGATTTTTAGATACAATTTAAATTCATTATGTTAGATCTGAATGAACAAAAAACCTAAAATTATGGCCAGCTATACTATTTTAGATCCAAACGAAGTGCTACTGATCATTGCCAACTATGGCTTACTATGACTTTAGAATCATCATAATCCAATGTGTTGAGGTTGTTCTACACTCAGATGGAAGTGACCAGAGATGACATTTCTATAATGAAGCTATGCTGTAATCAAATCACCAACTTTAGACATTTGCTAGTAGTTTACAAACTTTATACATTTTTAGTATACATTTGTTATCTTATTCTTGCTATTTCAAAAAAAAAACCCCACCAAACAAAGCCATTTATTGTTTTTATTCACAAAAGGTTATATAACTTAATCTGAAACCATTAATCTTTAGATGGAAAAACTAATTCAATAGACAAATTAGGTCAAATTTTAAAGTCATTTTGTTCTATATATAATGAAAATATATGTTGTTCTAGAAAGTAAGAAAAGGGAGGTGCTTTTCATTTATAAAAACTCTTTTGGATATCTGTGAGCTATCATAAAGTCTCTTGATCATTATCTGCCCAGAATATACGTCTTTTGCTTGGAGGTACTAAGGCACAGGGCTTCTTCAGACTTTTGCCTTGTTCTCTCTGGTCTTAGCTCTCAGCTTCCACTTAGCTGAGTAATCTCAGACAAGACAATTAGTGTCTTTGTGCCCCAGATGGGAAAACAGTGAGGATAATAACAGGCATACCTTGTGGATTATGTGAAGGATGAATGAGTTAACACATAATAATGTCCTTAGAACAGTGGCTGGCACGTGGTGAATGTTTAGTAAGTATTAGCTATTATTTTCATACGTGATAAAGTGTGGAACTATGACTGACTAACGTAGTAGGATAGAGTACTAGATGCTATTTTTTTTTGTATTTTGATTAGGCGTCATCAATATTTTTTCTAAAAAAATTTACTGTTTTTTTTTTTTTGAGGGGTGGGGTATCTGGCCACACAAGGAAGCAGAGAAAGGTGGCTCCTCTGAGTGAAACTGACCAGCTAGTACCTGGAATCAGAAAGCCTCTCAATGTGGGTAGACACCAGGAGTACACTAATCTGACACCCCACTTCTTTATTTTGTAAAATCATTTTTTTAAATCTCATGTGAATTAATAGGAGGTATCTGATGTAGAGCTGTAATTATTCCTGATTAGGGTTTTATATACTTTCTTTTGCCCATCTAAAATCTATGCACTTCTCATTTTCCTTGCAGAAGAATAACCCCCTACCCCTACCACACAGGAAATGACCACAATGAATTGTTACATTATGCCTGGTATTTATCTCTCCTAAGAGACCATCTGCTCCTGGGTAGTAAACTAGGTGCCCTCCATTAATAAATCTGATGATTCGATGGTGTAAATTTTCTTGTTGACATCTACAACTCAGAATTTGATGTTTTCCACTCCACCCTGTAACTACAGACGTTAAGACAGGCTGTAATGGCAGGTGCATTTTGTTCAAACTAGCATCCATGCACTACTCCTGAAGTTGTTTTGATTCACAAGGCGACTAAGAGGCTTAAAGACATTTCTAAGATTAAAAGGCTTAGGGATCCTTTATTCAACTTTAAGTAAAACATCTCACCGGATGCAGGTGTGTTTGAAAGTTAGTTTGGCTTCAGCGTCCTCAGCCTCAGGTTGTAGAGTGCACTGGAGGGTGGAGCCTTTGCAACTTGCTTCTCGCAGCGCTCGCGTGTCTTTGGGCGTCGTAGCACGCGCAGGGCACGTATGGACCCACTTTTCTAGCCTGACCCTCACCTCAAAGGCTGTCAACTCTTAAGTCCCTCCTCTCCGCCCGAGGCCCTCCTCTCTCATCAACTAACATGCTCCGCCCCCAGAGCGGAAACTTGGTACTGTAATTGGCCGAACCTTCTCTCACTCCGACTGCACAACCAATCCTTGCAATCATGGAGTAGGAGGGCACTGCCAATCAGGGTGCTCGCGTCCGCAGGAGCCGGGTCCGGAACGCCCAGAGGCGGGGCCGGAGGCGGGGCGCCGACACTGGATTAGTTGCCATTCCGAGTGAGAAGCGGGTCGAGGTGGCGGCGGCGGCGGCGTTTGCGGTGGCGCGGGCTACGCGCAGCGCGAGGCGCCTCGAGGCCCCTTTCTCTCCTCAGAGGCCAGAGTCCCGGCGGTACCCGTGACCGCCGGGTCCTGTCGTGCGGGCGACCCCCGCGAGGGCTGAGGAGCCGCGGGAAGCCGGCGAGTGCCCTGTCAGCGCGATGCCCGGGGCGGCGGCGGCGGCCATGGGCTCGACGCGGGCTCGGCCGTGAGCGCCCCGCAGAGCGCCGCGGGGCGGTTGAGGCCGTTGGACGTTGGCCGTCTCGGCGTCCCCTCCCCCTCGGCGGCGGGGTGCGCGTCGGAAGGGGAGCCCCGCAGCTCCGCCCCTCGCCGCCCCTCCCCCGTACACATCGCACGCACCGCCGCGCCGGCTCCCACACGCTCGCTCGCCCGCCCGCCCGCCCGCCCGCGGAGCCACCATGTCCACTGCGTCCTCCAGTTCCTCTCAGACCCCTCACCCCGCGCCGCAGAGGATGCGGCGCAGCACCGCGGGCTCCCCGCCTGCCGCTGCCGGGAGCGGGACGGGGCCGGCTGGGAGCTGCGCACCGGCTGCGGGAGCCGGCCGGCTGCTGCAACCCATCCGCGCCACGGTACCCTACCAGCTCCTGCGGGGCAGCCAGCACAGCCCCACGCGCCCGGCCACCGCCGCCGCGCTCGGCAGTCTCCCCGGGCCCGGCGGGGCCCGTGGTCCCAGCCCGTCCAGCCCGACTCCACCGCCCGCCGCTGCCCCAGCCGAGCAGGCGCCTCGCGCCAAGGGCCGCCCGAGACGGTCCCCCGAGAGCCACCGGAGGAGCAGCTCACCTGAGAGACGGAGTCCCGGCTCGCCCGTGTGCAGAGGTAGCGAGCCCAACCCTCCCGTCCTCCCGGGCTGCGTCTCCCCGACGGTGCCCTGCGTGGAAACTTCAGCCTCTCCGGGCTTCTGTTTGCTAGTGCATTACCGAAGGTGTGAAAGTGGCTTTGGGAATCTCACCCACTCCCCCCCCTGAGGTCGCTGCAGGGCTTGGAGGAGCGACCTGAAAATCAACTTTTTATCTGACCCTCACACCGCCACTCAGATTTTATCTTGCATCCCTCGCCTGCAAAAGAAGTGTTTCGGTTCAATAGCTTATTAGCTTTCTGTGTTTGGAGCCGGGCGAAACCCTTAAACACGCACACAAACTCTCTAGCGGTGAATAAGGTGGTAGTGGTAATCTCTGCAGCCTTTGTGCTTTCCCACAAAGTTCTTGTCTGGAGTATGTTTTGCTCGTTTTGGAGGCTTGATGGCGGTAGTTAGGTTGTTAAGGATATCCTTTGCATGTGTAGAGGAGACGGTGTGAAGTGTATGGGGTTTATCCACCCTCTGTCCTCTATATAGTCATGCATTAGATCACTGCACTACGAATGGCTTAGGCTCGGTGGTGATTTTCGTGGTGAATTTCTTCAAGCCTGTTTGTGGAGTGTGTTCACTTTTTCCTTCCATCTTTAAGTATACTTATCGGTTCAGCTGAGCTGAGTAGGGATCTCAAGTTTCTTTTTTGTTAGGTGTCAAAGGTAATGATGAGTGGGTGGATGCTGCGGACTCCCCTTAATGTTTTCTGTTTGGGTTTGGTTTTGTTTATGCCTAGGGACATAGTGCATGAGCTAGTTGATTCCTGGGGGAGAAAAAGAAAATTAAGCAAAACAGGGACGTAAAGGCCATAAGGGAGAGTCGACTACCTAATATTCTTAGATACCAACCTAGAGTTACAGTTGCTGCTGCTGCTGCTGCTGCGTTGTGGAAGGAAGGAATCATTCGGAGTAGGGAAAGAAAACAACAACAAAAAACCCTGCTGGGAAGGGAAATACTACCAAGCTTCATACAATGTTTATGTGGTATGTGGGATTTTTGTTTAAGGTAGACGTTCTTAAGGTGTTTAGAGTTAGAGAAAGGGATTGCAATACGATAGATCAAAGTTTAGGTATTTTTAGCATTAATTTAGACCTGTAATTAGCATGTTCTAAAGCACTTGCTTTCAGATCCCTTGATGGTAAGCCTCTGGGTAGAATGTAGTGCAGTGGGTAAGTGCTGGTGCACTAAGAAATACATCCTGTAATCTGTATGCACCAGGAGGAATTTGCTCCCCCACTCCTCCCCCAGGTCAAGCCAGCTGCTGCAGAAACTGACATCCTCCAGCAAATCCTGAATGAATGAATGAAAACAACGTGATCGCCCTAATAATGACCACAACTGAACACACATCTTTGGCTGTATTTTATAGGAAAGTCCACCATTTTCTAACAGATTAATGCCATATGCAACTCCCTTGCACATTTTCTGGGGCTGTGTTAAATGAGAGGTAACAGAAAGAAAAGAAGGCAACAGCAGTCACATTTTTGAATGATTTAGCTTTAATAGTTCATTAATGGGAGTTTGGGGATTTTCTTTTAGGAACAATGTAAAAAAAATAAGAATTGTAGATTGTGTGCAGAGGATTTTGTGGGCAGAGTTTGAGAAGTTTTGGCAATTGCTGCAACAATATAATGGCCACCTAGTACCTCCTTTCTTTTTGTTGATAAACAGTAACATCTTAGCACAGATAATAGTACAACTTGTTTTTCTGCATCCTTCAAAATCCCTAATTGCTTAGGAATTACATGCCCTATCATGAAGTAGTTCAAATGAGATTTGTGATCAGGCTTAAATTCTACTCTTTGTTGTAGAATGGCACACCAGAGTTTAATGCAATTTTAATGCAATCATGATGAAAACACTTAGTTTTGAGCCTGTTGGTGCAGTAGACAGATTTGCAGGGTCACAGCTTGTGCTGGTAATTGAGCATTCTATGCTGTAGTTCTGTTTATAACATCAGGTGTTTTGTCAGTTTCTTGCATTGAAGTGATTTTTGAAAGCATGTTCTTGTGCTCCTAGTTTCTTGATTGTATTACTACTATGTTACTTGTCTGCATTCTGCCTTGTTCTCCTCTGCCCATATTGAAAGTACAACATAGAAGTACTATGTTCTTTCTCTTTAGCCACTTCAATCTATCCTGTGACTTAACAATTTCAATTAGTTTCTTTTGAATTCACTAAGGTTTAACATCAGTGGGTTTTAGTTTCCACTGACCAAAGCGCCTGCTGCTGCTGCTACTGCTGCTACTGCAGACACTGACATCACTCTCCTGCATGAATGAAAAACAACACCGAGCACCATTTCTTCCTCTGCTCTCCTCCTTCCTTTTTTGCACCTTTCAGGGTTGGGGGATGGCCATTATATTATGCTTTGAGAGACTACACATGAAGATTTTTAAGTAGACATTGACTCAAGGGGATATGTATTTCATGGAGATACATGTTGTTTACAAAAAGCTTTAAGAGCTATTTGGATTGTGGGTGACAAGGAAGCATTCAGAATTTTATTCATATTTTGTCTAATTATGGAAGAAAATATAGAAACTAAGTTTTCTGATTCTGTTATCACAAAGAATTGTAAGCAGAATTTTGAATCCAGTCATAAACACTCCCAGCATACATATTTATGGGGTTGAGCTAAAGTAATAGAGACTTGGTGCTTATGTCAAAAAACGGGGAGAAAACTGAATTTTGTAAATAGGAACAATCAGTTTTTTAAAATTTGTCATATTTTAAAAATCCAACAGAAAGATAGTAATTCTCTTTAGTTTTGTACCATAGCTTTAGATAATTGACTACCGTAATGAAACATGCATAAACCTGCTAATAACATCATGCTTTATTTAAAAGACATGGAAATTTACAAATTGAAAGTTGTGTTTTGTTGGTGTTCCTGGATCATTCTCTTTTTGTATTTTTTCTTTCTTGTGTATTTCAAAACTTCAAGGTTATTATTTATATTCATTTCTGAACTTCTGCTATTAACAAAATGTCATCCTTCCCCTTGTTTGATTCTGAAGGGTTTTGAAGTGGTGAATGACAAGCTACTGAATGCATCCTCTGGCTCCCTGTGATGTGTTTGTAATAGATGTAAAATCATAAAGTGTTATGCAAATAGTTATTTTTTGTGATGGTAATATATAACCTCTACCTTTGAGATAAGTAGAACAATTCAAATGAGACTAAAGCAGAGTGTTCGAGTTAAAATGAATGATCTTTGAGATAAAGTCATTAAAAATGATCTAAAGAAATATAACTTAGTTGCTTTCTGAAATCCAAGAATAAACTCATGAATTTAAACACTAAACAAATAAGATAGTAGATAACAAATAGAAATCCTTATGTCTGTAAATATCCAAATTAAAGAATAGGTTATAAAAGAGGCAATTTTTGCCAAATCTAGTAACAAAATTTCTGAAGATCGGGTAACTTATTAGTTTCTTCTATGAAAAATAGTGTGTTAATTTTTGATTCAACCTACCAGATTTTTTTTTAGGCCTCCTACTCCTAAGAAATTGACAATTCTAGAGTGAAATTTGATCATATTTTGTTTTCCTCAGGAATCTTGAAATGGTTTTGTCATATGTAAAGAAATTATGCATGTTTTAAAAGATAATTCAAAGCCAACCAGCATAGAATGTTAAGTGCAGGCATTGTATTAATGTGCATACATGTGCTTACTTGTGCTTTAAGTTTTAAGCTCTTCATTAACTTCCTCTTTTGAGTCATTTTAATGTTGTCCTTAGTTGTAAAATATGAACATTTTGCTATTTTCTCTCTGTTTAGAGATATTCTTCAATTTCCCTCTTGAAAGTTTATTATCTGGCTAATATTTCTAGAGATTGAGGTTCTCTGTACTACTCTTCCCCCATTTGAAGTTTATCTTAGAGTCATTATGGGAACTTATTTCTAAACTTTGCTGCATAGAGTGAAAAGGTATTAAGCTTTAGGCTTCCACAATAATCTTCAGATTCTGATTTTGGGGAAAGTTCTTAATCTCTTAGAGTTGAACTAAATAGTGTTAATTTATGGCTCTGATTTTTTTTCCCCTCTGTCAGTTACCTTATGGTGCATAAGGTTTCAAAATTAGTGAATGAGTGGCAAAGTTATTTAATCAGTAATTTATGTTTTAAATTTATCAATGTATGTTCAAAGATTATATTCTCCACAAATATTATTGCCATGAACATATAGAATATTAAATACTTAAGGTGTATAAAGTAGGTTAATGAGTTTTTAACTGTATATAAAGTATTATGTGTGCTTATTGAATTGAAAATTTGGTTGGAGTACATTTCACAAAAGGATAACTCACTCTGGTTTACATTTTTGAAAAGGTTAATTATGATGTATACATTGGATAAATATTGAAAGATAATGGCATTCTTTTAATTATTTTACTTGTGATAATGTGGGTTATATTTGAACCAAGGAAACAAAACTCAGCTCCATGAAACAAATTTAATTGTAAATAAAAGACAACATTCAAATTAAGTCTGAAATTCAAATAGAAATTTAAAAGCCAGTCTTACCAAACATTAATTTGCTGCTAATACTGTGTCAAGGTGCATATTACCAATGGCTCTGGGTCTTAATTTTAGTTCAGTCTTTTTCCCAGTGCTTAGACACCAAAGTTGACTTCTTTGTAGCACCTCTCCTGGATCTGTTCCTGGCACTGTTGTCATTTGTGTTCAGTATATATTACTTCTTCTCCTATAAAACGTCTAGTCTTTGACAGTCTTTTTGTTTTTTAATCCTACATATTATTTATTTAAAAAGAAGTTGAGCTGACCTAACACATGGTGTCTTAATTGGTCTGATAAAGTTAAGCTGAAGAGACAGACTACTACTCATTTACTGGGAAAGTCTGGGAAACTGATGAAATGGCTAGAGCGCCAAAGTCCCTTACCCTTTGTGTGGACCTCTAGAAATGACCAGAACATGATTAGTTTTTCTGATAATTTAGGAA